AGGGAAAGCTCCAGAAAGTGGATCCTTGAGCAAGTGGTAGAGGAAAGGTGATGGTGCAGGGCAGGGTCCCCTGAAGGCCCCTCCCAAGTGGGGCAAAGCTGGAAAGAGGCTCCTGCGTGGCTCCAGGCCTAGGCCCTTCCTCACCTGGGTGGCAGTGAAGTCAAAAGCCACGTCGAACAGGTAGGACTTCTCCCGGGAGCGGTTTGCCCGCAGGATGTCATCAGGGTCCTCCATCGGGTCCATGAGAACCACCATCTGCAAAGGCCCCCAAGGGGAGGCTACATTCACCCAAGGTCCCCAGAGCCGTGGCTGCATTTCTGCCCCTGTCCACTCTCCGAGTGTACTATCTGGATGCTTGGCCTAGGATGCCCAGAAAGGAAGCCTCCTTGGTGACCAGTGACTGCCCAAGAGGCTGGCACCATCCCAAGGGAGCAGAGAGCACCCCAAAGTACAGCAAGTCCCAGATCCCCTAGGGATTCTTTCCCTAACTGCAGTGCCATCCTCATGCAGCCACTATGGAAGGAGAAGCAGCAACATGGCTGGCTTTCAAAACAGGACCTGGTTTGCCCACTCGACCCATACTGCCTCTTCATCGCACAGTAGCACTAGGCAGTAAAGCAATGGCTACTCCCACCTGACAGATGAAGAGCTTAGGGTCCAGAGGGGTATTCGCCCCATGTCACACTAGCCAGTGAGGAGTCAGGGCTTAAAGCTTACAGACTTAACTGCATCTGTGCTGTCATGTAGCCTGAAGCCCTGCTCTGACTCACCCCTCCGAGATGGGCTCCCAACCCACCTGGGAGCTTCTGGCCCTCCCAGGACAGGGCACAGAACCATTGGAAACTGGGTGGCAGGCAGGAAGAAAGTGGCTGGGCTTGGGGACTGCCCACCTGCATCTGAGAGGGGACTAGGGATGATCTGCAGTTCTGAGCCTGAGCTAGGGGTGGAAGGAGAGGCTGCAGAGCACTGAGCTGGAGCTAGGAGCAGGGCACAGTTGCCCAATGCCTGCTGGGGCTCAGGTAGGGGCAGTTGCTCTCTCTCTCAGTCAGTGTGCACGTGCACACGTGTTAAAGAACAGAAGGTTGCAAGTCTAAGAGACCTACTTTCCAGAACAATCTCTGAGCCTACTCCACTCTGCCCAGGCCCCCAGTGTGCTGAGCCTTGTCTTAGGCTCTGTGCAGAAATGCAGAGGGAGAGGCTGGATTCTTACCGGGAGTCCCGTCTTAGGGAAGGGTGGGAGAGTCAGTGCCAGGCTGCTGGATACAACCGATGACACTCCCAGACTCGTGGATGGGCTGGAGGTCGGGGGCATGTGGGACAAGCAGAGCAGGCACAGCAGAGGACAAGAGAGGAGGATCAGGCAGACACTGCACCCCAGTCCTGCCTCTCATTAGGGAAGCTCTGTGGAGGTTGTGTAGCCCTGAAACCCTGCCCTGACTCACCCCTCCATGACGGGAGAGTCTCCTCCCCTGTGTGAGGGGAGGGACTGCTGTGTGATCTCCCAGCCTGGCCTGGAGACAATGCATGTGACAGAATAAATGCTCATGGGTCTTCCTTTAAGGATCTGTGAAGTGGGAAGGAGGTCACCTGGTCCCTGCACCCATGAGTCTGCCACCAAATCTAGAATGGTAAAAATGGGAAAAGGCTATCTAAAAATTAAGAGTGGTGATTCCAACCTTGTCATGGAGAAGGTCATCTGCTCCTTTCAAGCCCTGCCCTGCTGCCCCCTCTAAGTGCTGCTCTGTACCAGGAGTGCCTGGGCTCCCTGGGGCCTTCGCTCAGCCAGACAGCCAGGGGAAATCAGCGCCCAGTGCTCCCCTCCTAATGAAGCAAGGCCTGTTCCCCAGGGCCAGCAGAGCTGGGCGGAGGACCAGATGGTGACCTCAGCCAGCATGGGCACCTCCCAGTCCCCTCCTCTACTATAGAAGGGGAGGGGGCAAAGAGGAATGGGGCTGTTGGGGGGGGTGGGTAGGTAGGAGGGCTTCACTCCCCGTGCATACTAACAACAGCCAATCTTACTGAGTCCTTTAATTCGTGATTACTGCCAGCCAGTGTCATATTGATAAGAAACAGAAGAGCTTGATCTGACAGATGCACTGTTCACATTATCCCTGGGTGCTCATTTGGCCTTGAGCAATAAAATACTGTACAAGTAGGTAAACTGAGTCCTAACAGAGCGTAAGGCATTGAGGGAGATGGGCTATTTATAGGGCTGCCCCAAGGGGGCAGAGATGGCGGCTGTGCTCTCTTCCTGGATCAGCAGGAGACCAGGGCTGGTGATAGTCTCAAAGAGCCAGTCTGTGAACAGACAAGGCATATGGAGGGGGCAGAGGAGGCTGATGGTGGCAGGCAGCCAGTCTGGAAGCACAACTGAACTTAGGGAGGATCTAGGAGATCTGAAGTGGGTCCGTCTGGGACCCCATGTCAAGCCTAAGGATTTAGGAGACCCAGAAGGAAATGACCTTGGTACTCCCAGCAGAGTGCCCTCCACATTCTATGTCTGTCCTGGGATCCACCCCTCCCCTTCTCTCCCTGGCACCTGGAGCAGGTACACATATATGCTTATTGCACCCAAACTGGCTCAGCCCTCAGGTAGCTGGCACAGCCCCTTCTGTGCTGCTCCAGGGTGAAGGGAGGGGAACTGACATCCCAGGAAGCAAACACCTTTTTGATGTGTGCATGGGGGGTGGGATTGGGGTTTGAACTCTGGGTTTCCTGCTTACAAAGCATGCTCTCTTCTGCTTGAGCCACACCTTTGGTCAGTTTCTCTCTGGTTATTTTGGAGTTGGGGCTCTCACAAACCATTTGCCCTGACTGGCCTTGAACAGCTCAACCCTCCCAATCTCAGCCTCCCAAGTAGCTAGGGTTACAGGCTTGAGCCACCGGTGCCTGCCGAGGCAAAAGTCTTATTAGGGATTCTAGGGAAGCCATCTAGAAGGGGGGGGCTCCAGGCAGGCTGGGCAGCAGCTTTGTGCAGGGAAAGAAGGCCCCTCCCAGCTGGTCAAAGACTGGTGACCTGAGGAGCTAAGTAAGTGCAAAGCATCTGGGCCTGCACTGTTACCCGAGGGACCACCTGTCCCCAGACACTGGCCACATCCTCAGGGCCTCAGTCCCAATGCCCTCCTAAGTCTCTTCTAGGAGCTGGTCTCTCACGCAGGATGCCAGCTGCTTGAGCCCTTCTCAAGTTTCAGACCTAGCTGAAGATAAACCCTGGCTCTGGGTCCCCTGGCATGGGTCACCTGGGAGGCAACAGGAGCCCCACCAGCTGTACCAGCTCTTGCCTCAGGTCCAGTGCTCCTATAGACATGGACAGGGCCCCCAAAGTGACCTTCAGTGCTGGGGAGAGTGAGAAGCATGCACTGTCTTCCATACCCCACTGATGACCTTCACATGACCTCCAGCCACTGCCAAGTTCACCTAGGCATCTGGTTCCTTTGGTATATGAATGCTCCGGCATCAGTGCACTGTCAGTACCACCGCCATGACCCAGCTTAAAGAAGGCTTTGTCTGGGCTCTGCTGTCCAAAGCTTCACCCTCATTCTTGTTCACTCAAGTGCACAATGGAGTCCTTGTGCCCCTTGACCAGGTGTACCAGAGCTGAGCTAGCCAGGGTGGGGGTCTCTAAGTGCTGCCAAGCAGACCAGCCTGGGGCAGTCAACACCAGTCCAACTCATTTATGGAGCACCTTCTACATGCCAAGCATTAAGCAAGGTCCCAGGATGACAGAAAAGTGAGACCAGGTGTCCTGCCACCTGACATTACCAGCTCATTTTAATAACAGGGTGAGTGCTGGCACATAGAAGAAAGAATAGGACCGATTGGAAGGCTTCCTTGAAGAGGTGGCAGTGGCATTGTGTCTTAAAGGATGAGCAGGAGGTAGCGGAGAGAGGTGAAGGGGGAGAATATTCTAGAGAAAAGTGTAAGAGGTGAGAGGCAGATGGCTGGTGTTTCTCAGCTGGGATTGCTGAAGTCTCATGGGAGGAACACAGAGTTGGAAAGGCAGCTTGGAGTTTTACCTTCCATCCCCTCTGCCGGCATCTCAGCAGTGCAGACCCCAAAGCTCATGTGTATCCACCAAGGTGAGCACACTGTGCCCCCTGCCTGGGTCCCCCTATGAACACATACCAGCCCTACTCTGGGAACCTCCTGCATATCATCCGAGGTTCCCATCCCTGGCTGGTCCACGGCCTAAGCCCAGTGTACACTTGCTGAGTAAAGCTGCCTTTGATGGGGAGCTGTGGGTGCACCCGGCACTGCACTAAGGGCTTGGCATGCACTTTCTCATTTCTTCTGACAACTTGTAGGTAGGCTCTCTGATTCTTCTGGCTGAATTGTGGATGAAAACTCACATTGGATAAGTAATTTACCCAAACACTGCACTGCAAACTACACAGCCCATTAGATTCAAAGCAATTAGGTTCCAGACTTAGCTGCTCACCACAGCTCACCCACCTCTGCCTCTCCAAGCGAGAGCATGGGCAGACAGCTGCCTCACTGTCTTATTAAGGGTTATTAATAGGTGTGCTCCCCCATCCATTTCACATTCTAATATTGAAGTCCTAACCCCAGGACCTTAGACTATGATCTTAGACTGTGTATTGGTAAATACAGTAGCTGTGGATGTAATTGGCTAAGTTAGGGTGAGGTCCATAATGGGATAGGGTGGGCTCTTAAGCCAGTATGACTAGCATCTTTAAAGAAAGGGGAAATCTGTTGGGTACAGTGGCTCATGCCTGTAATCCTAGCTACTTGAGAGCCTGCGATGGGAAGAATCAAGGTTTGAGATCAGCCCGGGCAAATAATACACGAGATCCCCTTCTCCAAAAACAACCAGAACAAAATGACTGGAGGTGTAGCTGAAGTGGTAGAGGATCTGCTTTGTAAGTGCAAAGCCCTGACTTCAAACTCCAGTCCCACCAAAAATAAAGAAAGGAAAGGAAGGAAGGAAGGAAGGAAGGAAGGAAGGAAGGAAGGAAGGAAGGAAGGAAGGAAGGAAAGAAATCTGGGCACAGACACACATAGGCAGAAATTGACATGGAGAGATGAGAAAGCAGTTACATCCCAGAAAAAAGGCCTGGCCCAGATTGCTCTGCCACCACCCTGATTTCAGACTTCAGGCTGCTAAGACTGTGAGATAATAAACTTTGGTTGCTCAAGCCACCCAGTGTATGGCACATTGTTACAGTTGCCTTGTAAATTAATGTGCCACCAAGGTGGGCTTCCATGCCATGGGGAGGCAGGTGCAGCATGGGCAC